TTCGTTTGAAAGGGATGAGGGCTGGTCTGGGGGTGCGGCATGGGGAACAAAGGAAGAGTGATGCGCCTCTCCGTGGGGGTGTGTGAAGAAGCCAGAGGAGAGTTGATGGTCGACAGGTGGCCATGGTGCTCGCCCAAGGTCCAACCGGCGGCCCTGTGTGCCGCCCCATTGCGCGCACCTTGAAGATGAAGAAGCGTTCTATGGTGGAAGGGTTGGCCTTGACAGCCAGCTGCAGCTGGGTGCGTGCGGCGTGACCATCCTTGCGGGCCTGGGGGATTTGGGTGCGAGTGGGTGAGGGTCACCGGGGAGTATGCTGTGCAAATAAGGGGCGGGGGATGCACATGTCAAAACGAAGCTGCAAAGTGAACCAAACTTGCAACCTGACAGACCAGCCGTGGTGTAGCCCGCGTATCGGCAGCCTGCACTGCTGGGGCTGTCAGTCCCTGGATACTTCCACCTGACCCACCTGGTGTCCCCCGCTCTTGCCAACCTCAGGCCCACCTCTATTTGAAAGTTGGCCAGGGCGATCATGAGGGTGGCGCTGTTCGGGAAGCGCGCTAAGCCGCACTGCGAACAAGAACGGGCAGGTTTATAGCAGGGCTTGCACAGCCTGATTTGACAATGCGCAGTCCCGGATGGTTGCCTTGCGCAAAACTGCAACCCGCAGACCTGTCCTGCAGCATCACCTGCTCGTATGTGGCCCCCTTGTACCCCAACCACCTTGACATCCATCGACGTTGCAATTGCGCACACTCCGCGATCGCGGCCGCTCTCGATATTTTTGCAACCATGTATGTGTGTGCTTGGCACTTTCCAGCATGCTTACCTGCTGTTCAGAATTGACCCGTACATGCCTGCCCCCCTAGGTTGCTTGGCGAGCAACCCCCTCGTCACACCTTGTTGATGAATTCCCCCAGGGCGCAGGCCTCCTCATCAGGCTGGCCGTCCTCATCCCACTTGCGCATGACACGCGCCAGAATCTCCACCTGAGGGCGGGGGTGGCGAGAGTGGCGTCATGATTTGGACCGCACCCGCCGGCTGGGGTGAGGCCCGCTGCGCGGGTAGAGACGAGCGCCCGGAAGACCAGCAAGAGTTGATTGTGCCGCAAGGGATTTAGGCAGGCAAGCAAGCAAGCAAGCAAGCAAGCAAGCAAGCAAGCAAGCAAGCAAGCAAGCAAGCAAGCAAGCAAGCAAGCAAGCAAGCAAGCAAGCAAGCAAGCAAGCAAGCAAGCAAG